GCTAGCCAGCTGGATTTTCAAAGATACATATCTGACTTTGGAATGTTGGTTTGCTGCCTCCCTGCCTCCACTTTTGTGATAATGATGCTGCTAAAGCTGTTCCATGCCTATTGGCTGAATACCCCAAGCTTGTACTTTACCCTATAAAACTTCATGCATACGTCTTGGAGGTGCTCAGAGTTTTGGAGCAGAAGCCCCTCTGAGCCCGCCGGCGTAGTACATCTGAGTACTCCAACCCTCCGAGTGGTGCTTGTTTCTTGGCTGGCCTGTCGTTTCCGTAACAGTCTTGGCCAGGGAGGTTCTTTATCCACTTGGATTTGCACAGCCAATAATGAAACTGATGCTGAGATTGGAACAACACAAGCTTTATTCAATGGCTAAAGAATGGAGAAGTGGAAACTTCATAAATCAACTTCTCAACCACATTTGGGTAGAAACACCATATATATATAGAGGAAGGCTGAGGTAAAATGGAAGGAATTGGAAAGAGAGGAAGGAATATTCATGACTTATTTGAGAATGGGGTTGTCATTTGGACCTGGAACTGAGGCAACATTTTTTATTAGTCCTTGTGTGGGCTTGTCCAGTTGTTGTCATGGCAACTCTTCACTGTCATGGTGCTGGTGGGTGTGTCATTTAGCATGCTAATGTATTATAGTGAGTATATAATGAAGCTCAAGTTCTACTGGAAGTCATATCTTCCACCACCTTGGGCCTAGCTGGTTCTCACCAGTTCTTTTTTTTTTTTCCTCTTTGCAGCTTCCTCCAGAAATTTAGATAAGAGCAATTAGTTTCCATTAGAGGGAGGGGCAGGAGTATGATTCTGGGGCAACAGCCTTGGTAACAGGTATCCAGTTGCCCTGTTTGTTATCAAGCAAAAGTTTGTGTGCTTGACACACAATGAGGCCAAACCTAAATGTTGGAGTTTGGAGCAGAGTAAGGCTTACTGCAGAGCCAAGCAAGGAGAACAGGTCATTTGTGCTAAAACCCCTGAACTCCCTGATGGTTTTCGGGGAGAGGTTTTTGTAGGCAAAATTTGGTGTGAAGATTGCAGGGGTGGTGTTCCAGAAATCCTGTGCTCAGCCTGAAGTTGCCATCCTCCACCAGGGCGGGGGCCTTACTTCCTGCAGAAGAACTTAAAGGTATTGTTTTGTATGTTCCTTGAAGAGGAACCAGGACCCTGCCCCAAGACTGCATTATTGTTTCCTCCCTTGTTTCTGCATTCCCTCCTTTACCTGATTAGCAACTGTTTGAGTTGCCCTTTGGAAGTCAGGGAAGGTCAAGGAAACTGAATAAATCCTGTTTCCTAAAAACAAGAAACGGGGGACATGGAAAGGATTTGTACCAGGGAGAACCACACTGGGTCTTACTCTGTTTCAGCCCCAGTACCATTTATTGAAAAAACTATACTCTCTCCACTTAATTATCTTGGCACCCTTGTT